CATGCCATATCCAAACCATAACAAGTATCTTATAGTTGCTAAATTAGCAAATGAGACTTCTGCCTTTTCTCTTTAGCCATCAGTGCCCCAAGATGAGCCCAACAAAAACAGGTGGAGACTGCCGGGATAAAGGGGACTATCCTGGAAACTGATGGGCTGGGCCTCTAACTCTGTACTTTTAGCCTCTCCTCTCACCCAGCACAAGCTCAGGACACAAGTCAACGCTCTCTCAGGTGGCTCTCCAGAATCGAGGGGAGGCACCATGGAAATAGAGGCTCTTCCCTTTTCTCTGACAGATATGGGATCAGCCTTTTCCTGGGCTACTCTGTCTGGGAAAGCCTGCAGGGAACTATGAGCCGGTTGTGTCCCAGGACTCTTAACGCACGCCCTTTCTCTTGAACAGTAAATTACTCTTGGCATTGAAAAACATGCTTTGGTGACATGGTCCCTGACGGCCATGGGAGGAACAGAGCCTGGATGTCTGAGTTTTGGAAGCCATCACTCCAAGCCCAGACAGACCCACCTGAGGCCAAGTCAGAAAAGGGAGCCATTGCTTACAGTGGGTTCCAGTGTGTGCAACTGTGTCTTCCCAGATGGAGTTGATGCCCTCTTGACCAGCGGCTGAGGACACTGCCAATCATGTGACAATGTGATAGTGACTGGTCACTGTGTCCTTTGGTAGTCCCTTGCTTTACACACACACACACACACACACACACACACACACACACACACACACACACGCATCAAACAGAACCAAAACCAAACCAAACCAAAACCCCTGCATTGCTCAAGGTTCCTCCTTCCTTCTGGATGCAACTAATGCTGAGGTCAAATGTCCCATCCCACTCTTCTCAAAAGCAGACAAAAGCTCCCTTTTTCTCAAAAGCTTGTCTTTCAAGCTGCATGAAGCAGTGATGAACTGAGGTCAGGGTCTCACTTCTTTCCAGGTATATCTGCCAAGACCCTCAAAGTCTTGGTTCCTGGACCTCCAAGCTAGGTGACCTTCTCTTTGTGGATGCTCTTTCTCCTAGGTTAGCTTCACAGTGGTTGGCATTAAATCATCCCAGAAAAGTGATTTGATTTGTATGGTTAAGACTAAAATAAATCTTGTTGGATATAGGTGTCTGACACACATTCAACCTACTGGCCACAAAAGGCTTAAGGGAGGCCTAGGGAGACCCAGCAGTGTAAGAATAGACAAACCAGCCAGGTGCGGTGGCACATGTCTGTAATCCCAGCGCTCACGGAGGCAGAGGTATGCTGATCTCCATGAGTTCAAGGCCAGCCTGGTCTACAAAGCAAACCCAGGACAACCAAGGCTACACAAAGAAACTCTGTCTCAAAAAATACCAACCAACCAAAGAGACAAACAAAAAGAATGGACAAACCTCCACAGTTTTAGAAACTTCCAGAGGAAGTCAGCTGAAAGGCAGGTTGACAATGTGTTTCATGTAACATGAATACATGGCATGCCAAGGGGAACCACTGGGGAGAAGAGGGCTGTGAGATCAGCAGAGATATTAGGGAAAGTTGGAAACAGGAGAGAAAAAAAAAGGAGGCAAAGGGGACTTTCTTTTAAGATGGGAGACTTTTGTTTAATTTCCTGGATTAGTTCCTTTTAAATGATTTACTTAAAAAAAAAAAAAGAGGACATCTGTTAATTTGCTGCACGAGGCTTTGTAATTAGAGAGCTACTGGCCTTCCATGGGACGAGAGGGTGGCTATAGATTTGTGCAAATTAAACGTCCTGATTCCGTGCCTGCTACAAGAAGCCCCGCCTGTGTGTACAATGTACTTAAAGGATTAGGGCACACTTTGAAATTATGCTATGTTTTACCTAGACTAGGCATCTTCCCCCTTAAGCTTTTATTTCCTTGAAGGAGGGGAGGAGACCACCAGCCTTCACAAGCCGTCAAGCCCCAGGAGGTACTTTGTGGGAAGGTTTAAGTGCAGGGGAAGGAGGGGGTGCTGTTTACATGTCTCAGCGAGGTAATAAATCTTCTCTTCAACACTTTCGATCCCATTTCAGACCAGATTGGGCGAGTTCAGGGTAGGAAGGCTGTGGAGTAGTGATTTCATTTTAGGGACATTGCTTACAAGAAGTTAATGGGGCTCTGGACACAGGTGACAAGCTTAGGAGTGCAAGGGCCAGGGAAGATGAGAAAAGGGAGTTTTTTTGAAAGTTGCTGGGATCATCCTGACCCTTCAAGATCGCTAAATACATGAAAAGTCTTCACTTATGCACAAGGCGTTCCAAGACGGATGTGGGTGATCGTTTTTATTTTTGAGGCAGGGTCTCATGCGGTCAGGTTGGTCAGAAACTCAGTCTGTAACCAAGTAACGGCTTTGAACCTCTGAGCCTCCCACTGAGTGCCGGGATTACAGGCACAGCAACAGCTCCAGGTGACCGGTTAGCAGAAACGTCTTTTACCTCCCTTTGATTTACCAGGATTGGAGGAGACGGCACAGCACAGCTGAAAGAAACCCTCTTGGCTACTTGCTTTAACTGCGGCTTTAATTGATTTGGTGGCTCGTGGGCCTGTCAGGTCAGCCACGGGTGCTGTGAGAACATGGGCACCTTTGGGAAAAACGCAAGCTGAAAAAAGTAACCAGTTCGTAAGAATCTGAAAAGCACACGCAGGTGTCTAATAAAGACATAGAGGCTTTATTTTAAAAACACTCATCGGTCGCAAAAAAGAAAAAAAAAAATCCCCCATGAAATACATAGAAAAATAAAGCTTGATTAGGGTGGTCTACCAAACTTCAAGCCACAGAACTTTACGTTACAGGGCAGAGTGGACTTTGCTAACTAACGATTTATGACGCAGGGTAGACACAGGTCACTCAGGTGATATGGCTGAAAGCACCTTCCCATTCACGTGTTGGAGTCAACAGCTTCTGTTTCCCATATTTTCTACCAGTTGAGGTGTGGGTGAATGACTAGTTCCAGTGGGGAGAAGGAAAAATGGAGTTGGACCCCCCAAAAAAAAATTTCTAAAAACAAGCCTCTCCTCACTATACCCATGCTGAAAAGGATTCCATTCGGAGTACCAGTGACTTTAAAAGCTGGATAAAGAGAAGTGATTTGGACTCCTCTGCCTTTTGTGTGGTCTAACGCTGCCACAGCGATCAGCCACAAGGTGCACTGAACAATATGGGGGGCCCCAGTGCTGTAAAAGAACAGGGTGCATGCAGCCAACTTTCTATCAACTTCCTTTGGCAATTTTGCCCCCAACAGTAAATTGGCCCATTTAAAAGGAGGAAATTAAAAGATTTCTCAAGGTACAGAACTGAGTGGTGGGATAAAGGGATTTCCTGGCCCCACAAAGTCTCATTTGTAATAGTCGTGTTCCCACCTCCCACATCTCCCATTTGGCAGGTTACCTGACATACAGGATGGAAATAAAAGGGCACTTTCACTCTTACTGTTTTAGGTAAGTCACCGTGCACAGTTCTCCAAAGCGTTTACACATTTATCTGTGGATGGAAGCCGCCATGATGCTGCATTTTGGATACAGTTTCCCTGCCCTTATAGCATGTTCCTGCAAAGCTATTAGCCCCCTGCTTGCTGGTTGGCCTGGCTGACAGCCCTGCCCTGCCCAGGTCCCCTCCATCTCTCCTAGATGCCTCAGCAGGGGCAGCCCTTCCTTTTGTCCTGTTCTTCCTTCTTCGAGAAAACCAGACCCCCCCAACCTCCTCTGCCTGTGGGGATCCCCAGCACCCCAAAGGCCGTCAGCCTTTGAACTGTAACATACAGCCAGCAGACAGCCCTGTGAGCGAAGCTGTGATTGGCAGCTCTCTTTCAAAAGGGCTTGGGACTGAATGCTGGGAATTTTTAAAGGGAAGAAACAGGAGTTGCTGGTTAAAAAAAAAAAAAAAAGTATGTTGTTAGGTCAAATCATTATCTGTTTGCAGCTAGTTAGTTGTTTTACAACTTGGTGGGGGGGAAGCAACACATCTTAGGCTAAATAAGACACGCATGCATAGATTTTAAAAGCCTGAGCTGAGTTCTGTAGGGGGAAAAAACAAAACAAAACAAAAAATCCATAAAAATAAAGGGGAAGGAAGATCCTTTGTTTAAAAATGATGACACCTCTTAATTCACTTCATAAGAATCGTGAATTCAGACCCGAAAGCTGTCCTGACCCCAGGAAGGCAGGAAGGGTGTGGGCAGAGGCCTTATTGCGCTGGTATAAAAGTCAGGGTGAAGGCGCTCACCTGGACGGGGGAAACCCCACACCCCCAGGGCCTTGGTCTTGGACAGGAAGAGACTGTTTTGAAGCCCACCCCTGCAGGCAAACTGTTGACACAGCTTGTCTTAAGCCCCTCAGCATGTGCACCCTGCCCCACTCAGGCTGCCCTGTGAATCCTTGAATTGGTACACTACTACAAAAAAGCTAAGAGGCTAAGAGGCTAAGGCCTTCGCGTCCCAGGCCAACCTGCCTCCATCACTAAGGATTTTTGTCATTATTGTTTGTTTTGTTTTCCTTCTTCTTCAAATCTTCCATTTACCCTCACTTTTACACGGGCAGAGAGAAACCCTGGCTATAGTCCAAGGCCAACCAAAGACTTTTTAACCCAAAAGACGTTTTAATTCAAGAGGACACCTTCATTCAAGAGGACCCTTTGTTTGACCCTTTCATAGTTACGGAAGAGGATGGAGTCTCAGCAACAGGATCCTTAGGAATGATGTAGCCATTCCATCCATAGCCACCCTAAGCTCTGGAAACAGACTTCAACTTGCCTGGCTCTCTCTAGACTGGGAGCCGACAGCAGTGACCTACAGAACACATGAAACTGTGACTAGAGACTAAAATAGCTGCCCCAGACCTCTCGCTGGAACCACCAGAGAAGAACTGGAGTATTCCCTGGGAACCCCTAACGGTTTGTGCACACTCCTTGCTCCCGACTCCGTGACCTCAGCCACTCTGGCTTTTTCCCAGAACCCCCCGGGGGAAGGCAGTTTCTGATCTACACAGTTGTCATCTGAGCTGTTGTTACCAGAAAGTTGGACACCAGCTGCCCAGACAGTAAAGGTAGGGGTAGTAGGGGTAGCTGGTATACATGGAGACCAGTGAGGTGCTGGACAGGCTGTCTTCTTTCAGGACGGGCAAGGAGACTCCCAGGTCTTCCGACAGCTGCTTCCGCTTTGTCTTATAGCGTCTGTTCTGGAACCATATTTTCACTTGGGTTTCGGTGAGTTTGAGGTTCTTGGCCAGGTGGGCCCTTTCAGGGGCAGACAAGTACTTCTGATGGCTGAACTTCCTCTCCAACTCAATGACCTGAGTGTGAGAGAAGGCAGCGCGGGACCGCTTCTGCGGCTGCTTGGTGACCTGGGGGACGCTTGACAAGTCTCCTGGAGTGTGCACACAGTCCAACACATAAGTCTCAAAATGTCCATCTGGAGAAGAGCAGAGGAGAGAAGAAAAAAAAGTTACACGTTAGCCTGGAATTCAAGCCACCTTTCTGTTTTTTTCTGCCAAGCTCAGTGTCCTGCTGGATACATTTAACTTTTTTTTCACACGAGCAAGGAACTACCCGGAGGAAGTAGGTAGCAAAACTATATACTCCGTTTTTCTAATGACCAGTGGGAATTAAGCTTAGGTCTTTGCGTTTTACAGTTGGAACTTTCTGCCTTGTTGTTTTATGTCGGTGAAACCCGGATCCCGGATGTATGTAGAAGAGAGAGGCGAACAGGGAAGACAGGGGCATCATGGGGACATTTAAGCGGGTGACTGAGGCTTGTAGGGATGAGCCAGGTGGTCTGGCCTGGTGACCAATAATACGTCTTCTTTCAGCACTTTTTGTAACTCCCTCTCAGCTACCAGTATGAGAAGTGAGGGGGGGGTGGTGGAGACTAGTGGCGGGGCGGGGGGGGGGGGGGGGAAGGGCAGCAAGGGGGAACAAAAGCTGACTTGACGCTATTTATAAAGACCTAAAGGAACATCCATTATTTTATGGTTTGGGAATGGAGCCGCGAAAGGAGCCCGGGGGTGGGCTTGACTTATGAATATTAATATTCGGAGCCCAGTGGTAACTGGCCAGAGCCGCTGGAAAAGAGTCAAGCAGATGGCAAAGTTGTTAGCTGCCCTCAGGGTTGACGTCCAAGGTAATTCAGTGCCCAGGGCGGGGAGGTCCTTCCTGTGGCCATGGCCCCCCACATCCGGAGCTCGGGGCCATCAGCCTGTCCTCTCCTGTGCAGCGTGCCCATCCCCAGGTCTGCTCCGCTTACCTGACTCGGGCTGAGCCGGCGTCTCTGCGGGGCTGGGCCGGGGCCGGGGCTCCCCCAGAGCCCCGCGACCTCCTGCTTCCTCGGGTTCTAGCTCGGGGCTCCTCCTAGGGTCCGGCTGGCGCTGGCACTGGCGCTGGCGCTGCGGGCTGCCCGCGTGTCCCCCGCGCCGCTCCGCGCGGTCTCGCAGGATGTCTTGGATGAGGAATGAGGTGAGCCGCTTGGACTGCGTGGGCGGCGCTGCCCAGGGACCGCGGCCACCAGCCTCCACCCGGGCCGCTCGGGGCTCCGCCGCCCTGAGCATCCCGCCTCCGCTGCGCGCCGCTTTTGCTTGCGGCCGGCCGCGCGCACTTATAGCCGTGGGGAGCGCCGCGCCGCCCGCCCATTGGCCGTGGGGACACGGCTGCGCCTCGATTGGCTGCCGCGGGCTCCAGGTGACCGAGAAGAGGCGAGCCCGAAGTGGGAGTCCTTCCTTGCTGAGCCCTTGCCTTTCCTGGTTTCCCTCTCGCCACAAACGCCCAAACCCCGGCTGTAATCGCCATGAGGAGGACCCTCGAGTAGCTCTTAAGAGAGATCGGTGACAAAGCCACATCTACTGAGGCCAAGGCGGTCCTGGGTCTGGCAGCCAGGTGCTCGCTGGCCCCACGCTGGAGTCCCAGCTGGACACATCTGGACAGCAAGAAAAAAAAAAAAATCTAACAGGGGAGGTCAAACTAGTCTGAGAATGTCGCATTTGCTGAGCTGACCGCGCACTGTGACCCCAGGAAAGAATATTCTTAAAAATTAAACACTCAAGCTGGATGTGGGTGGTGCACATCTTTGATCCCAGCGAAGGGAGGTGGAGACAGGAAGAGCGGTGCTGTGAGTTCGAGGCCAGCCTGGTCTCTATAGAGTTCCAAAACAAGCTGAAAAAAGAAATGAATACTCACGCCCAGGCTCCCTCCCTATGCCTAGTCAAGGGTCACTCGGGTGGTTCAGAACAACGCTATGGACTGGTGAATAGTACACACCTGATAAAAGAGAGGGATGCGTTAAAATACTAACATTCGGTGGAAACGAGGAAAACCTACACTGATGTTTTTGGTTGTTACTGCTTTTTTTTTATTTATTTTTTGCAACTAGTGTCTGTCTGTGATCTAAGGCACTGGAATCTGCTCAGAATGGTACTTTGTGAGTCTGAGGAGAAAGAAAGGGGAGCAGGTTGTTAAGGACACAGCAAATGCTGAAGGAAATTGAGATAAATAACCAGAAAGCCTTCAGAGAAGCTGGCTTTCCTCTGCATTTTACCTAGACTTATTTTCCTTTAAAAATGAAATATACTTTTGAGACAGTTCCAGGTGCATTGAGAATTGCAAAAATAACACCCCTAATGGCCCTCATGATAGCATCTTTTTATCTTATTTATTTATTTATAGTGTGTGTGTGTGTGTGTGTGTGTGTGTGTGTACGTGCTGTGAGTCCCCCTCTCTCCAAGGCCCGCACATAAATGCTGCCTCCCCACCCCAAGGGTGATACCTGGGGGAGGTACTTTGGGCCTATAAGAGCCAGAGCCCAATGAGAGGTTCTCAGATCTTTGAGGGCCTAGGGATTGTAGAGGCTGGGTTTCCCCTCCTTTCCTGGCCCCATTCTCCCTGACCTGGAAACCTGTTTTCATTCTGGTCACAGGTTGGTTCCACTTGTAAGCGGAGCTGTAGAATCAACTGTATATGTATAAGAGTAGCTACAAGTGATCCATATACTGTCCATCCAGACGAAGATAATGCCTGTGTATTTATTCAGCAGGACAGCCGTGCCTGCTCAGTGATGTGGAGGCAGGCTAAGAGAAAGGAAGAGGGAGAACCTAACAGGGTCTATTTCTTTGTACTCCTTTATAGTTCTTAAAAATTACAAATCTGGGGTTCCAGAGATGATGGCTCAGTGGTTAAGAGCACTTCACTGCCAGGCGTGGGGGTGTGCGCCTTTAATCCCAGCACTTGGGAGGCAGAGGCAGGCAGCTCTCTGTGAGCTGGAGGCCAGCCTGTCTACAAAGCGAGTCCAGGCTAACCAGGGCTACACAGAGAAACTCTGTCTCAAAAAACCAATCTGAAAAACAAACAAAAAAAATCAAGAAACAAAAAACAAAACCCTCTAAAAAAAAAAAGAAGAAAAGAGAAAGAAAGAAAGAAAGAAAAGAAAAGAAAAGAAAAGAAAAAAGCGTTTGCTGATCTTCCAAAGGACCTAAGTTTAGTTCCCGGGACTCACGTCAGCTGGTTTCATACCTGTCTGTAATCCAGGTCCTGAGAATCTGAATCTGATACCCATTTCTGGTCCCTGCAGGCACTCAAATGGCATATATGCACACACCCCTACACATCATTTTTAAAAATTATATAGATTTTAAAAAAATTAGATAGAGATGGCTCTGTCCTTAGGAGTGCTCACACCTCTGCCAGAAGACCTAACTTTGGTTCCTATCACCTCCCAATGGGCACTTTACAGCTGCCTATAGATCCATATGTGGCATATATTTACACAAATAAATAAAGAGTAAACATAAATCTTTTTTAAAATACTAATTAAAAACTTAGAGGTGGAATTGAAGTGAACTCTTATCCTATGCCATGACCTCCCCGGGTCACAGGTGCCTTCATTATGGGGACCCAGCTCAAAGCAGTGCCTCATCATGCTGTTTTCTTCCCTTCAAGCTTTGTCCTTGGGTTCTACGGACAGTTCTCTTCATTCGTTAGACATTCGCTCCCTGAAAAGAAACTGGTTCCTCCTAACTAACACCTAGCTTTGTTCTTGGCATACAACAAGCGATTAATAAATGCTCACTATCTGGATATCTGATGTCTGTTACTATGAGACATCTCACTGGCTGGTAGAATTCTCCATAGTGTTCCCAGGCAAGTGACAGGAAGCTGGGTTGGCCTCATCTCCTTGTTGTGTTTGTGCAGCTTAAACTGGGCGAGAATGACCAAGGGCAAACAGGAAGCCACACGAGACTGTGGGGAGCACCCACAGATGCCCGTCTACGAATCCCCCAAGTCTGTGAATATTCTGTGCAAATGGCAAGCGACTGTTACACGTTAGATGGAACTAAAGTTGCTATTGAGCTAGACATGAAGTGGAAGGATTACCCTGGAGTACGAGACAAAGGAGGTTAGCCAGTCAGTCAGAAAGGAATACAGGTCATCTGAAGTAAGGGTGAAAGAATGGCTGTGAGAGATTCTACTGGCCACAGTTGGCTTTGACAATGAAGAAGGCCATTGGTCAAGGAATCTAGTAGCCATTAGAAGCAGAAGCAAAGAAATGGCCTGTGGCTTACAGAGATCCAATTGGGACGTCTAACTTCTAAACTCAGGATTTGTGCGGTTTGTTAAATTGATATGACCTTTGAGTTCTTTTTTTAATTGAAATACATATTTATTTGCACAGTGCTAGCTTTTCATCCAAACTGCCTTTGCTCCTTCTCTTTCAGCCTTTAGTCATATTAAGTCCGTCAATCCACCAAATATTTTAGAATTGATCCCAGACCTTTATAGCGGTTTGCATGGGTAGAAAGGGAGAGGCAGGGCATGAGCCCGGCAGGCTAGTGAAGAGATTCTGGGCAGCTCGGGTATGGCTGGCATGGCTCTGGAGGGGCCTTGATCCTCTCTCCCATTACCTCTGCCTCGCTAAAAACCATTAGATTACCTGCCAAAAGCTAGCCACTAAGGCCTATTCCATATTTGACCACTTCCTCCTCCTGAGGCTGACCAAAGCATTAAAGTCCAGCAATCAAAAGCCCCCTTTGGAGCATCTAATTAACACAGCCAATTAAAATTAAACACCTCATCATAACATGGGGCTTCCCACTTTACCTTTATAAACTGCCATTTGCCTATGCGCCGAGTCTGTCTCCTCTCTACCCAGAGGCAACCTTTTGAACTCCAGGGCAAATACCCAGAGGCAACCTTTTGAACTCCAGGGCAAATATCTATTTCCTCTCTCTCTTGCTCCCTTTCTCTTCTCCCTCATCCTCCAGCTCCTGTCTCTGTCCCTTATCCCTACCTTCTGTCCCTTTGGGCAAGTAAATCTTCTTTGTGCTGAGAACTTGGTCTTGGGAGTTCCGAGCCAAAATCAAGGTTGTACCACTCCTTACAACCGGAAGCGTTGGGCAGCTGCTGGCCGTGACCCTGGTTATGTGGTGCCTGAATCTGCGTTGACTTGGAGCAGGGAGAAAACTTTCCCTGGTTTCTTAGATGCTCGGCCATACTAGTATTGAGACTTGTCCCTTTGTCATTTGGAGTGCTACATGTTGGGGTCTGTTACGCCTAAAAATGCGCTTGTGTGTATCTGTTACGTCAGTAGGCTTGTGGTTCTACAGCTTCAAAGCCCAGCCTCCCAAGAGTAAGGGACTGCACCTTCGAGGACTTCTCGCCTAGTCACAAGGCAGATGGTACCAGTAGAAATGGTAAGAAAAGAAAGAGGAAGGAAAGGGGAGGAGCTACAGGCCAAGCTTATCCAATCAGGAACCTACTTTCCCATCAACAGTGTTAGCCCATCCCTGAGGACTTCTAGAACCTTACGACCTTCTGAGATTCCCACCTCCTAATATTGTTACCAGGGCAATGACCTTGTTTCACCACAAGGATCTGAAGGGACATGTAAACCTTAGTATCCTGGGAGGACAGAGGTAAGATCCCTGACCCTGTGCAACAGCCTGTCTCAGAGTCCAGGGCCTTTTCCGGCTGCAGATTTCCCCTCAGCATGCCTAGGTGGGCATTACAGGTTTGCATTTTGTCCCAAGCAATACCCTGGTGCTTTTGTAGGAGACCCCTACCCACCTCTAAGGGGTGGGGGCTGAGGACACTGAGCGCTCTGCAGGGGTTTTCACAGTAAGGAGCTAGAAGGTGAGATCCCTGAGCAGCTCAGTGAGGGAGCGGAGGATGTGATCGGGATGGTGGTTCCTATAGTGCCCTCATGTCATGATCCCCTGCATGCCTGAACCTCTCACTCCGACAGTGGCCCCAGGGCTCCTCTCTCTCTATCCCAAGACACCGTAAACCTCCAAGTGTCTGGGACTGTGCCTGTACCACCAGCTTCCCCTCGCAGGCCTCTCTGCATGGCCCAGGGGATCAGGCTTTGGAGAACTTTGATGGGCAGATGACAGTCGGGCTTTGGAGAACTTTGGTGGGCAGATGACAGCTCAAACGCTCTGATGCCCCTCATCTTGTTCACGCTTAGCACCCAAGAAAAGCCATGGAGAAGATTCATTAAGCCATAGGAGCTCAAGACTATTTTGCTAATAGTGCCCTGGTCACCAGCGCCCCCCCCCCCACT